GATAGACAGACAGACAGATAGAACGATCAATATAATGCTAGATAGACAGACACAGACAGACAGAACGATCAATATAACACAAGATAGACAGACAGAAAGAACGATCAATATGTCGCTAGATAGACAGACAGATAGAACGCTCAATATAACACTACATAGACAGAACGATCAATATAACACTAGATAGACAGACAGACAGACAGATAGAGCGATCAATATAACACTAGATAGACAGACAGACAGACAGATAGAGCGATCAATATAATGCTAGATAGACACAGACAGACAGAACAATCAATATAACACTAGATAGACAGACAGACAGAACGATCAATATAACACTGGATAGACAGACAGACAGATAGAACGCTCAATATAAAAAAAGCTAGACAGACAGATAGAACGATCAATATAACACTAGATAGACAGAACGATCAATATAACACTAGATAGACAGACAGACAGACAGATAGAACGATCAATATAACGGTATATAGACAGACAGACAGACAGATAGATAGATAGAACGATCAATATAATGCTAGATAGACAGACAGATAAAACGATCAATATAACGGTATATAGACAGACACAGACAGACAGATAGATAGAACGATCAATATAACACTAGATAGACACAGACAGATAGAATGATCAATATAACGGTATATAGACAGACAGACAGATAGATAGAACGATCAATATAATGCTAGATAGACAGACAGATAAAACGATCAATATAACAGTATATAGACAGACAGACAGACAGATAGAACGATCAATATAATGCTAGATAGACAGACACAGACAGACAGATAGAACGATCAATATAATTAATGCTAGATAGACAGACAGACAGATAGATAGAACGATCAATATAACACTAGATAGACAGACAGACAGACAGATAGAACGATCAATATAATTAATGCTAGATAGACAGACAGACAGATAGATAGAACGATCAATATAACACTAGATAGACAGACAGACAGACAGATAGAACGATCAATATAATTAATGCTAGATAGACAGACAGACAGATAGATAGAACGATCAATATAACACTAGATAGACAGACAGACAGACAGATAGAACGATCAATATAATTAATGCTAGATAGACAGACAGACAGATAGATAGAACGATCAATATAACACTAGATAGACACAGACAGACAGAACGATCAATATAATGCTAAATCATACCTGTCAACCCTCCCGTTTTTCCCAGGATTCTCCTGTATTTTACCATTCTATCCCGCTATCATCCCGTTTAAATATTTCCCCATATTTTTAATATTTCTCGGCGGATTTGATGTTTGCTACATTCGCCTCCAGCAAAACTCTCGTAATTTGTATAGCCCAAACCTAATTATATGAAAAATACGGTCGAGCGCTTTGTTACCGGGGAAAACCACTGTATTTCTGCCGTTCCGAAAACGCCACCTGCTGGCAGAGGATGAATTTGCATTTTTCAATAAAGAACATTAAATCGCGCACAGCAGACGTTGCTCACATCTGGTAAATGCAAGTCTCTTTACATTGAGATTTTAAGATCTTCTTATCTGGACTAAATTTGCATTAATTTAAGGCGGATTGATTTAAGTGTGCTGTAACATGATGGGGCCTGAGCTGTAGTTCTGACTTAAGTATGTTAAATGAGAAAGTACAGCCTCACACACACCTGAAAGTAATCAATTTAGTCAATGTGCAGATTAATCTGCCTGTAAGTCTTGAAATTACTCTTTTGACTTTCTCCATTAAATTTGCACGTTCATACAGACATAAAAAATATGGATATAATTAAAGCTCGTGTTGAAAACAAATGCAAACGAGAAATATTTCATTTTCATGTTGCAGACATTTCTTAAATATTTCTACTCAATTCTAATGTATTGTTTTGTAAGGGAGAAAAATGCCAAAATGATAACAGTGGAAAGTATAAGTGTGATTAGCTGAAATAATGTTCTGAAAGCAGGAGTTTATCATTTTCATCAGATCGTTCATCATAACATCCAGCAAACTCCCTCCCACATTCCTAAAAACGATTGATTTAAAAATGCAGGAAAAAGACACACCTCTTAAAATGGCCTGTTTTAATCTTGTGACACAAAATCACAGAGGAAAAAGCCAAAATATTACGAGGTCATAAACAGCATCTACTTCTGATTTCCTGTTTGCGACACGAGCATCTGCGCTTCTCATCTGGTGCTTCAGTCTTCTGACTTTTACAGAAGGCATCATGTGAATATAATGCTCTCAATCTTATGTCTTCATAAAGAAAGAACCTCTTCACTGCCACAGCCAGACGCTTAAGCTTGCTAAACATGTTACAAGCACTCATCCCACAGTCAAGTATCTATTTAAAGGGGTCATATGATGCAATTTCAATTTTTCCTTTCTCTTTGGAGTGTTACAAGCTCTTGGTGCATAAAGAAGATCTGTAAAGTTGCAAAGACTAAAGTCTCAAATCCAAAGAGATATTCTTTATAAAAGTTAAGAGTCAGCCACGCCTACCTAAAACGGCTCGTTCTAACACGCCCCAACATACCTACGTCACTATGTGGGAAAATTTGCATAACGCCACCCAAATGTTCATGCAAAGAAAGAAGGCGTAACTTTTATTCTCGCTGTAGTATTGTTGCCGCCACTGCCATGTCGTGAAGGTGCTGTGTGTTTCGTTGTGAAAGCTAAACAACTTTGTTTGGCCTTCCAAAAGAGGACGATATCGCTTCGTCATGCCTGGAGCTGATCCGTGCTGGTTGCTGAGGAAATAC